CTCCTCGTCCTCCTCCTCCTCCTCGTCCTCCTCCTCCTCCTGGCCTGGCCAACAGAGCGCCTCAGACGGCCCAAGATGGTCCCCAGAGGCCCTCTAGAGGCCCCAGGGTGGTTCCCAGAGCACCCCTCGCGGTGGCCCCAACATGCCCAAATTGACAAGAGGCCCCTACACTGGCCCAAGGGGACACGAAGAAAGCCTCAAGACGGCCCCAAGAAGGCGCCAAGACGGCCTCCGAGCAAGAGCGCCCCAAAACGGCCCAAGAGGCCCCAAGAGGCCCAAAGAAGCTCTCAAGAGGCCCCAAGAAGCCCCCAAGAGACCTCCAAGAGGCCTCCAAGACGCCCCGAAGAGGCCCCACAACGACTTGACTGCACGTGCTCCGGACGTGCACCTACGAAGTGAGAGGAATCCACGTCCAGAAAGTGACGTGCTGAGCGTCAGCGTTTCCGCGCTGGCCCGATGCAACGTACCCAACGTATAACATTATCGTAGAATTGCTTCGTATACCATCATTACGTACTTGCTACACATTGTATGATTTTATACTATCATGTACCCCCCGAACCCCTCCCTGGAATCGCACAGCTTCCGTCGACCACTCCCAACCAGGCCTTCCTGGACCTTAGTCGGAAAATACTTGATTTGGGCATCTTGGGCCTCTTGGGGGGTCAAAGGGGCCTTAGGACGGCTCACGATGGAGTCCAGACAGCTCAAGATGGCCCCAAGACGGCCCTAGACTAGATGGCCCCACGAGGGCCCAAGAGGTCCCAAAGATGGCCCCAGAGGGCTTCAAGGGGCCCCTCAGGAGCACTTCTTGAGGCCAATTACTCCGACGGAAGGACCCCACACGATAATCTCTTTAGCTTGCATGGGGGTATCCTCCTGCCCCTTCCCTTCTCCCACCTACTCTTGCCTCCTCGTTCTCCTCCTGTCTGCTCCTCCTCCTGCCTCAACCCCTGCCTCTTCCTCCTCTTCTTGCCTCCTCCACCTCCTCCCCCTCCCCCTCGTTATGTTTCCTCCCCCCATTCCCCCTGCCCCTCCTGCCTCCTGCCTCCTCCTCCTGCTCTCCCTCTCCCTTCTCCTCCTCCTCCTCCTCCTCCTCCTCCTCCTCCTCCTCCTCCTCCTCCTCCTCCTCCCCTGTCCTCCTCCTCTCCCTCTCCCTCATCCGTTTCTTCCTCCTCCTCCTCCTCTTCCTCCTCCGTCCTCCTCCCTCCTCCTCCTCCTCCCCCTCCTCCTCCTCCTCCTCCTCCTCCTCCTCCTCCTCCTCCTCCTCCTCCTCCTCCTCCTCCTCCTCCTCCTCCTCCTCTCCTCCTCCCTCCTCACTCCTCCTCCTCCTCGTTTCCATATTCCTCCCCCTCCTCCCCCCTCCTCCTCCTCCTCCTCCTCCTCCTCCTCCTCCTCCTCCTCCTCCTGCCTCCTCCTTAGGCCTCCTGCCCCCTCCTGGGGCCTCCTGGGGCCTCTTGGGGCCTCCTGGAGCCTTCTTGGGCCTTCCGGGACCTACTGGGGCCTCCTCGGGCATTCCTCCTCCTCCTTTTCCTCCTCGTCCTTCCTCCCCTCAGCCTCTTCCTCTTCCTGCTTTCCTGTCTCGTCCTGCATCATCCCTCCTCCTTTTCCTGGCAATCCTCCTCCTCCTCGTCCTCGTGCGGAACACGACCCAGAGGAAGCGCACGACGTGCGTCCCAGCCGATACGCGCCGGAGGACGACCCAGAGGAAGCGCGCGCCGGAGGATGACCCGGAGGAACCACGTGAGCTGCGGGACCCATAGGGAGGGGGCTCCCGCCTGACGCGTCCTCACAATTCACTCACAGACGAGGGTCCCGCTTGATACTTCTTCCAAACTCAGACCTGAAGAGCCCAAAAGTGACGACAGTTACAGGAATCCGATGACCCGCTCGGATTAGTAACATGATCTGCGGGCCCCATAGAGAGGGGGTTCCCGCCTGAGACTTCCTCGCAATTCACTCACAGACGAGGCTCCCGCCTGATACTTCCTCCAAATTCAGACCTGAGGAGCCCAAAAGTGACGACAGTTACAGGAATCCGATGACCCGCTCGGATTAGTAACATGATCTGCGGGCCCCATAGGGAGGGGGCTCCCGCTTGAGAAGTCCTCACAATTCACTCACAGATGAAGGTCCCGCTTGATACTTCCTCGAAATTCAAACCTGGGATCCCAAAAGTGACGACAGTTACAGGAATCCGATGAGCCGCTCAAATTGGTAACATGATCTGCGGGCCACATACGGAGGGGGCTCACGCCTGAGACTTCCTCACAATTCACTCACAGACGAGGCTCCCGCTTGATACTTCCTCCAAATTCACACCTGAGAAGCCCAAAAGTGACGACAGTTACAGGAATCCGATGACCCGCTCGGATTCATAACATGACCTGCGGGCCCCATAGGGAGGGGGCTCCCGCCTGAGACTTCCTCACAATTCACTCACAGACGAGGCTCCCGCTTGATACTTCTTCCAAATTCAAAACTGAAGAGCCCAAAAGTGACGACAGTTACAGGAATCCGATGACCCGCTCAAATTAGTAACATGATCTGCGGGCCCCATAGGGAGGGGGCTCCCGCCTGACGCGTCCTCACAATTCACTCACAGACGAGCGTCCCGCTTGATACTTCTTCCAAATTCAGACCTGAGGAGCCCAAAAGTGACGACAGTTACAGGAATCCGATGACCCGCTTAGATTAGTAACATGATCTGCGGGCCCCATAAGGAGGGGGCTCCCGCCTGAGACTTCCTCGCAATTCACTCATAGACGAGGCTCCCGCTTGATACTTCCTCCAAATTCAGACCTGAGGAGCCCAAAAGTGACGACAGTTACAGGAATCCGATGACCCGCTCGGATGAATTCGCCGGCCCAACGGGCCAGAGGCGTGCTAAGATCTCCGGTAACTGGTTAACAATTTTCTAGTTCGCGCGCGCGGGGCGGCCCCTGGGGGTCCCCGGACGAAAAGTACCCCGACCAGGTCCCGGCCGGTCCCCGGCCGGTCCCCGGCCGGGTCCCGGCCGGGTCCCGGCCGGGTCCCGGCCGGGTCCCGGCCGGGCCCCCCCGAGCGCTCCATGAGCGCACCAACAGGGCTCCGAGACGTCCCCGAGAGCCCCAAGAAAGGCCAAGAGGCCCCCAAGAGGCCCCCAAGATGGTACACGAGGGGTCCGACATGCCACAAGATCGCTCCAAGACGCCCAAGATAGCCCCCAGACGCCCCAAGAGGCCTCCAAGAGCACTCCCAATAGGGCCCCCGGAGGCAAAATCATTGTTTTTCCATAGGTTTTTGAGAGATTTTGGAGCTTCCACCTTTTCGGCTTCCCGACGCCCCAAGACGGCCCAAGAGGCCCCCAAGATCGCCCCAAGAGGGCCCAAGAGGCACCCAAGAGGGCCCCAAGATGGCCCAAGAGGGCTCGAAGACGGCCCAAGAAGCCTCCAAAACGGTCCAAGAGGGCCCCAAGAACGCCCCCAAAGGGGCCCCAGAGAGGGAACACGAAACAACATTTCGAGCCCTCGGCCCTAAGAAGCCCCTACGAGGCCCCTAAGAGGCCCCAAGAGGCCCCCACGGGGCCCTCAGGAGGCCCCCAAGAGTCCCCCAAATGCCCCCCCGAGCGCCCCAGGAGTCCCCCAAGCGGCCCCAGGAACCCCCAAAGCGCCGCATTGACACCGGGCCCTCGGGCAAACGGCAGACATGAGACTGTATGGGCCGGCGGAATGAGCGAAGCGATTAAATAACATGATCTGCGGGCCCCATAGGGAGGGGGCTCCCGCCTGAGACTTCCTCGCGATTTACTCACAGACGAGGCTACCGCTTGATACTTCCAAATTCATACCTGAGGAGCCCAAAAGTGTCGACAGTTACAAGAATCCGATGACCCGCTCGGATTAGTAACATGATCTGCGGGCCCCATAGGGAGGGGGCTCCCGCCTGAGACTTCCTCACAATTCACTCACAGACGAGGCTCCCTCTTGGTGGATGATGGTGATGGGATGATGACGACGGTGTTTGATGATGATATATGATGATGATGATGATGATGATGATGATGATGATGATGATGATGATGATGATGATGATGATGATGATGATGATGATGATGATGATGATGATGATGATGACGGTGGTGGTGGTGGTGATGATGATGATGATGGTGATGATGATGATGATGATGACGACGACGACGACGACGACGGTGATGATGATGATGATGATGATGATGATGATGGTGGTGGTGGTGGTGGTGGTGGTGGTGGTGGTGGTGATGATGATGATGATGATGATGATGATGATGATGATGATGATGATGGTGGTGGTGGTGGTGATGATGACGACGTGATGATGATGATGGTGGTGATGATGAGTGCTGATGGTGAGTGATCGTTTGATTATTCTGATGGTAAATGGTGGTGATGATGATGGGGACGAAGTGGTGAGTCAGCGAGTAGTGATGATGATGATGATGATGATGATGATGATGATCGTTCGATGCCGATGATGGTGAGTGATCGTGCGATGGTGATGCTGATGGTGATGATGATGATGGGGAGTGATGGTGATGGTGATGATGATGCGGAGGAGGAAGCAAAGAGGAGCAGAGGAGAGGGAGGAGGACGAGAGATCCTGCGCGGAGGATGTGCAGAGAAAACAAGAACCCCACTTAGGATGTGGGGAAAAATATTGATTTTCCGTATGGGTGTTCCACGAATTTCGCGTAGCCATTTTCGCCTCTGGGAGCCCATGACGGCCCAAGCAGCCCCCAAGATGGCCCCAAGACGGCCCTAGACTCCTAGATGGCCCAACGAGGGCCCAAGAGGTCCCAAAGACGGCCCCAGAGGGCTTCAGTGGGGCCCCCAGGAGCACTTCTCAAGGCCAAAAACATTGATGTTTCTTTTTGGTTCTACACGATTTTCGCGTCGCCATTTTCGACTCTCGGGAGCCCATCACGGCACAAGCAGCCTCCAAGATGGCCTCAACACGGCCCCAAAGGTCCCCCAGAGGCTCCCACGACGGCCCTAGAGGGGCCACAAGGCGGCCCCGGTAGGCCCCCAAGACGACCTCCGAAGGGGCCAGACGGCGCAATGGCGCCGTTTGAACTTGGCGTTGCCTTGTGCTGACACGCGGTGAATGCTCATCGCCCTCGTGGATATTCGCAGGCTCGTCCTAGTGCTGAAACAGAAGGGGTGGGGCTTGCAGCGCCCTGGGGCGAGCAGAACGACGCAGCAGACGAGCAGGGCAAACCATCCAACGCTCAATCTTTACATGCTCAGGACGTGCATCCAGCGAAGCGAGAGGAATCGGAAGGGGCGGAGTGCGCAGGAGGAGGCGGCGTGTGCCAAAATGCACAATAGTTCCAGGTAAGCATCGGGACGCATCGGACCGTCGGAATCGAATCGGACCGAACCAGCCAGGATCGATATCGAGTCAGATCGATCAGACCGAAATGGACCCTGACCTCGCCTTTCGGTTCATAACTCGGGTCTCTGGCGGCCATTCGGGACGATCGGGCACCTCAGGGACACTCTCGGCGAAAATGTCCGAGCAAAATCTCTGCGGAACCGACGGCCGCCGACTTGGACGCCCGAGATGGGTACGGAGAACATGGGCACGAGATGCCCAACAGCACATGTTGTCCAAAAAACGACAGCGGCCGCTGGTAGGCCGTCCGCCGTCTCTCGCATGGACAGCCTCCGCGGGGGCGCTGACAGTGAGCCCTGCCCAGCAGGAACAGGGACTGCCGTCGGTCGTGGTACCCACTCTGTCCGTCCCCATTCCGATCCTACTAGGGCGAATCCCCCTACAGGCGGATTGTGGACGAACAAACAAAAAAAACTAAACAAGCAAAAATAATCAAAACATTGTCCCCATACTATGTGTTGACTATGTTTGAATATTCATCCTGTAGAGGGACACGCCCGACTTAACTTTATCCGTCCCCTTTCCGACCCTACGTGCCCACTCTGTCCGTCTTCGGTGGCAACTCATGGGAGCCTCCCATACCATCTTGGCGGCTCTCGCGAATCGACGCTGGTCGACGCCAAATCGACGCTGATCGACGCTAGATCGACGCTGAATGACGCTAACCGACGCTGCATCGGCGCTACCTCATCGACTCCCAGACGCTAATCGACGCTAATCGACGCCAAAGACAAAACTAACAGGGTGTACCAGGCTCCCGTGCTTTGCTACCGAACGTGCCCACTCTGTCCGTGCCCAGTCCGATCCTACGTGCCCGCGCTGTCCGCACCAATTCCCATCCTACCGAGCCGAAGGCCGCCGATCGGGCGCGGCCCAACCATCAGGAGGAGAAAAAACACACACACACACAGACACAATTAATCGTCGAGTCCCAGGAGAATATTGGAAAATACGGCAAGTGGGGGGGGAAGACGAAAACCCAGACAATATAGGAAAATACGTCGAATATTATTATTTGTGTGTATTTATTAGTGTGTCTTGGGGCCCCTTCAAACCAACCCCTACCCTGGCACGTCATCCCCTTCTGTGACGTCGTCCTCGCCTCTCGAGCTCCCCCCGGGGCCGCAAGCCCACGCCTTGGGGCGCGGCGAGGGATGGCTTGCCGGGGATCGGCTGGGCCGCCCCTGAGCCTTTGGAAATCGGAATCCTCCTCCTCCTCCTCCTCCTCCTCCTCCTCCTCCCCCTCCTCCTCCCCCTGCTCCTGCTCCTCATCCTCCTCCTCCTCCTCCTCCTCCTCCTGCTCCTCCTCCTCCTCCTCCTCCTCCTCCTCCTCCTCCTCCTTCTCCTCATCCTCATCCTCATCATCTTCCTCCTCCTCCTCCGGGTGTGGCACAAAGGGGTGCGGTGCCAATCGTGGCAATGGCGATGGCACCCGCGATAAACGACGTCGCCGGATTCGTCTTCACACACGAGTGGCACACCACACACACCCCTATGCCATACCCCATTTCCTGCCTCCAGAGGGCCGAGGGGCGGAGGGGGCAGCCGGCAGACGGTCGAGAGCCGCCGCCCGCCGCGCCCACCTCCCGCGGGGGCGCGGCCCAACCAACCCCTACACTAGCAGGCCATCCCATTCCTCGGGAGCGGCCCAACCAACCCCTACCCTGGCAGGCCATCCCATTCCTCGGGAGCATTCCTCGGGACGTACTGAAATAAGAAGAGGCGCCCTGAGATCTGGGGAAATACCATGGCGAGAGCCGCCGCCCGCCGCGCCCGAAGAGGGAGGAAGAGAGAGGGGGAAGAAGGGGGGAGGAGGAAGAAGAGGAGGAGGAGGAGGAAGAGGAGGAGGAGGAGCAGGAGGAGGAGGAGGAGGAGGAGGAGGAGGAGGCTCCCGCGGGGGCGCGGCGGGGGGTCCCACAGCCACCAGCACGCCAGCTCCAGGCCCTGGGCGGCGGCGGCGGCTCGCGGCAGGGCGGGGGCAGCGGGCGCACGGGGGAGGCGATCGAGGAGCGGGAGGAGGAGGAGGAGGAGGAGGAGGAGGAGCAGGAGGAGGAGGAGAGGAGCGGAGGGGAGGAAGAACATCGAGGGGCGATCCAGAAGCGGGAGAGGCGATCGAAAAGCAGGATAGGGGAGGAGGAGGAGGAGCGGAGGAGGAGGAGGAGGAGAGGAGCGGGAGGGGGGAGGGAGGAGAGGAGGAGGAGGAGGAGGAGGAGGAGGAGGAGGAGGAGGGAGGAGGAGGAGAGGAGAGGAGGAGGAGGAGGGGGAGGGGAGAGGGGGAGGAGGAGGAGAAGGAGGAGGAGGAGGAGGAGGCGGACCAGTGCAAACCCAAGACTCATCAACGATGTTGGAATAAAATCTCCCTCCAAGCTCCCTCTTCATAGGCCCCTGAGAGGATTCATCTCCACGGAAGGAAGTGCCCCGTTGGAAGACAACCGTTCGAAGATCCAGAAACGTGCAAAAACACCATTCTCGGGACTCTAGCGCCACGGATCAACCTGAGTGTTGCGGCTTGACGATCGCGCCAGAACGCCACTCTTGGGACATCAACACTGCGAGCCAACGTAACTGCTGCGCGTCGACAATCCTGAATCACTCCCAAACACAATCTCTGGTGTGCTAAAAATACGAATCCGTGACGCCTACAACGAATGCGCGCGGCGCTAAGGCGAGAACCACATTTTGAAAAGGAGCCGCACTCGATCCGCACGGATGTGCGCGGCGCTAATGCGAGAAACACGTTTTGACAACCACCCGGCATCAATATGTGAAACTCTTGCAAATGTTTAAGACGGATGCGTGCGGCGCTAAGGTGACAGCGACATGTTGAAAACCACCCGACCTCAAACCGTTAAACTCTTAAATTGTCTTGAGACGGATGTGCGCGGCGCTAAGGCGAGAGCCACAAGTTGAAAACCACCAGCCCTCCATGTGTGGAACTGCTCCCACATTTTCAGCTTCAGAAACCTAAATAAGAAAAGAATATCAAGCGAAACGCCCGGCCCGCCTTTTCGACCGGCCAAGGGGTGCGACACGGAGGAGTTACATAGAAGGAAAAGGAATGGAGGAGGAGCAACGAGCGCGCAGAAAGGCGCTCGAAAAGCTGGAGGGGGGAAAGAGGTCAGCCACCAAAAAGTCCGACCCTGCCTCGTTCTTCTCTCTGAGAAAGCGATGAAAAGCGGCCGCACGCCCGCAGAAGGGAGGCCCGCCTCTACACCCTGCTCCCGCTGCTGCTGCTGCCTTCTCATCGGCTACACTCTCGCCGAGCGGCCGAAGAGACGGAGGAGGAGGAGGAGGAGGAGGCGAAAGAGAGGGATGATGATAAGAATAATTATGATAATGATAATATTAATGATGATGCTGATGATGATGACGACAACGACGCCGATGACGATGATAATGATGGTGATGTGGTGAGGGTGATGATGAGTATGATGCAGGTGATGATGAGGATGAGGATGGGAATGAACGTGTTGATCATCGATGATGAGGATGATGATGACGGTGTTGCGTACGGTGATGCTGATGATAATTACACTGATGCTAATGCTGATGCTGATGATGGTAGTGATTGTGATGAAGGTGATGATGGTGGTGATGGTGATGATGATGATGACGAAATGGAAATGATGGCGATGGTGGTGATGCTGATGGTGACGATGATGGTGATGATGATGGTGGTGGTGATCATGGTAGTGATGATGATGGCGAAGATGATGCTGATGGTGATGTAGACCTCGGTGGTGATGATGATGATGCCGATAATGATCCTGCTGATGATGGTGATGATTATGATAATGACGACGACAATGAGAATGATAGTCACGAGGATGGTGGTGATGATGATGATGACGACGACGATTATGATGATAGTAGGGGTGAGGGTGAGAATGAGGATGAGGATGAATATGTTGGATGATGGTGTTGCGGATGGTGATGGTGATGAATATGCTGATGCTGATGCTACAGCTGATGATGTAAGTGATAGCGGTGATGGTGATGATGATGATGATGAAATCGGTATGATAATGCTGATAGCGATGATGATGAGCATGATGATGATAATGAAGATGATGACGATGGTGATGGTGATGATGATGGTGACGATGATGGCGACGATGATAGTGATGGTGATGGTGACGGTGATGGTGATGATGATGGTGGTGGTGATGATGATCACGATGATGATGATGATGATGATGATGATGATGATGATGATGATGATGATGATGATGATGATAATGATGATGATGACGACGACGATCGTGATCACGATGATGGTGAGGATGATGGTGATGGTGTGATGGTGATGGTAATGGTGATGGTGATGTTGGTGATGATGTTGATGCCGATGATGCCAATGATAATGATAATGAGGAGGATGAGGATGAAAATGAGGATGAGTATGAGGATGGAGACGAGGATGATGAGGAGGATGAGGATGAATGTGAGGATGATGATGATTATGAGTATGCTGATGATGTTGATCGTGATAGTGAAGATGTTGATGCTTATAATTGGGTGTTGATGCTGATAATGGTGATGATGCTAATGGTGATGGTGATGATGGCTATGGTGATTGTGATGGTGATGGTGATGGTGACGGTGACGGTGACGGTGATGATGATGGTGATGGTGATGGTGATTGTGGTGATGATAATGATGTTGATGGTGATGATGATGATGATCATGATGATGACGATGATGGTGATGATGATGATGATGATGATGATGATGATGATGATGATGATGATGATGATGATGATGATGATCCGACAACTCTGCGGGGACAACGAGCATTGGCAGCGGTAGCAGCGTCGTTCAAGCGTCGGCGGAGGGAGGGAGGGAGGGAGGGAGGGGGGGGAAGGTTCGGATCTCGCCGCGGGAGCTCCAACGAAACTAGAAACGGCGGGCCATCGTTCGCAAGGCCGACAAGCCAGCCGCGCGCCCAGGTTTTCGCCACGGGGCAAAGGCAGGCTCCCGCGGCGATGCTGCCACGAGCGAACATTAGCAGCAACCCTGGCCTCACCTGCGACAGTGCCGCCTGGCCCCGTCCACCAGAGGGGACAGGGCTTCGCGTCCTGGCCTCGGGAACGGCATCTGCCTCCGCTCTGCGGTGAGCGGCATGTCCCGCGCCCCCCCGCTGCACCGGCGCATGCAGGCGGAGCGGGCCTTCACTGCGCCAGCGGGATGGGTGTTCCGTAGACGCCCGCCCGTTGGGGCCCAGGCCTCTCTTGATCATCTGGGCTCTCCTTGCTTGCTCTTGAGCCTCGCCTCGCACTCGTCCAGCAGCTGGGGCCTGCGCGACGACCCCTCGGAGGTGCCGCACCTTCTGCAGCGGAGCACTGGCGCGCGACCCACAGCTGGTGGCCGTCGTGGGTCGGGCGACTCCAGCGTGGCGGCATGTCCCGAGCGGCGCCGACTGCACGTTTTTTCGGCCTGCCGCCCCGACGGCCCATGCGGGGCAGGCGCCGGGTCCCCAGAGGCGGGTGCTGCCGCTGCAAGGCCGCCCTCGCTGGTGCCCTGCGCTGCGACGCTGGCCGCTGGCCGCTGCCAGCGCCGTCGCCCCGAGCGCACCGCCGCCGTGGCTCCTCGGCCGGCGGCTGGCCGCCCTCGCCGACGTGCTGCTCTCGCTGGCGTTCATCATGCGCATGCCGGTGCTGCTGCTCGCCGCGGCGTGCTCTCGCCAGGGTTGCGGGGGCCGCGTCGGCGTCCGCACCCCCGTCACCGGAAGGGGCCGCTGCGGCCAACGGGGTGCTCCAAGTCCCGTACCCCCTCGGCCCGTCTCCAGCGGGTCGTTCCTCCGTCTGCTTGGCACTCTCGTGCATGGGAAAAGGAGGCTGCATCGGCCAGCGAAGGGGATCCGCACCCCTTGGCCCTGGGGGAGCCGCTTGGGCCCACGGGATGGTCCCAGTCCGACTTCCCGCACCCCACGGACCCTTCTCCATCAGGCTTTGGCGTTGCCTTCGGCGTGATGATGATGATGATGATGATGATGATGTTGATGATGATGTCGATGATGTTGATAATGCTGATGATGATGATGATGGTAATGATGATGATGATGATGCTGACGATGACGATGACGATGACGATGACGATGACGATGACGATGACGATGACGATGACGATGACGATGACGATGACGATCACTGAAGATGATGATGGAGATGATGGGGATGGTTGATAGTTGAGGGTGACAGTAAGGTGATGGTGATGAAGATGGTGATGGTAATGGTGATGGCGATGGTGATGGTGATGTCGACGATGATGACGTTGGTGATGGTGATGATGGTGATGATGATGACGAGGACGATGATGGCAATGATGATGAGGGTGATGATGACGATGATGGTGATGATGCTGCTGATAATGGAGAGGATGATGGCGATGATAATGGTGGTGATGGTTGTGATAAGTGATGATGGGTGATGCTGGTGATGACGATGACGCGGCATAAAAGGCGCGTGTGCTCTCTGATTTCCTCTCTCGCTCTATACATATACTATCCCTCTATCTCTCTCTCTCTCTCTCTCTCCCTCGCTCTAGATATCTCTCATCGCTTGTTTACGGAGTCCTTGAAGTATGAAATGTGATCCCAATATCTGCCATTAAGCTCTGTGTCAGCTGCCGTACGGTATCTTGGTCTCTCATACCATTTAGTTTGTGTGCCGTTGTCCATCCCGAACTATCATCTCTGAAAACCCTGCCCCGGGAATTTGCTGCACGCATTCGGGTGCTCCAGCCATTCACCATGTCAAAATTGGAACGTCACCGCTGCGCCACTCGCTCGGGGCCCTGGCAGATGATGGTTTGGTGCGCCACGGTTTCCAGGTGACGATAGGCATGCGGCGACCAGGATATTGCAGCTTCCAAATATACGTTTGACCAGAACGTGGGACGAGGGGGGGGAGGGGGGGACAGCGGAAAGGGGAGGGGGACGAGGGGGAGGAGGAGGAGGAGGAGGAGGAGGAGGAGGAGGAGGAGCAGCAAAAAAAGCGGGGGGGGGGGGAACTGCAAGAGGGAGGCGGAGGAGGTGGGGAGAGGTACAAGAGGGAGGCGAGGAAGAATGCAGTAAGGGAGGAGGAGCAAGAGAAGAGAGGAGGGAGAAAAGGGGGAAGGAGGAGAGGAGGGTGCCGAGGGTGCTGATGATGCGGGGCGTTCAGAGCCCCCCGGCGCCAAGCCGAGAGGAGGGTAGCTGATGCCGAACCAATACCCAGGCCACAAACTCCAGTCGCTGGCACGCAGGCAGCGCGCCTCGGGCCCACGCCGAGACGCCAAACGGGCCGCCAACCGACGAGGCGACGAGAGAGCCCCAGACCAAGGAAGCCCAGGGAAAACGAAGAGAGGCCAGCGGCAGGCGGCGAGAAAGCACCGAGGCGAGCCCAGCAGAGGCGACGAGGAGGCCCAGGCCGATCCCAGACCACGCCGCCACGGCTCACGCACCGCAGGCCTTCGAAGGGGGGGGGGGGAGGAGGAGGAGGAGGTAGGGAGGAGGAGAGGAGGAGGAGGAGGAGGAGGACGAGGAGGAGGAGGAGGAGGAGGAGGAGGAGGAGCAGGAGCAGGAGGAGGAGGAGCAGGAGCAGGAGGAGGAGGAGGAGGAACAGGAGGAGGAACAACAGGAGGAGGAGGCGGAGGAGGACAAAGGGTAGGCGGAGGAGGAGGACGACGACGACCGCATGCTGTGCCCAGCAATGACGCGTGGCACGCAGGCCCTGGTCCTTGCACCGAGGGAGGGCGAGGGCGAGGAGAAGCGGAGGTGAGGAGGGGGGGGGGTCGGGGCTACAATGCGAGCGCGACCGCAAGAACCCCCCGCAAAAAACCCAACCCTGAAAACCCGCGCGCGAGGTGCACCGGAAGGGAAACCCGGAGCACCCTGAACGCAACAGCTCCTTCAATGACCGCGGGAAGTCGCCGCGCAGCGCGCGGAGCGAAGAAACCCAGGATACCCTGACGAAAAGCATATGGTTTCTTGATGCGCGCTCCCACTGTATCCTGGTGTGTTCTCTTGGTGCCATCGCGCCCATCATGAAGGGGCCCAAGGACACACAAATAAATCCGCACAAATCCCAGGATACCCAACATTTTCACGTATTTCCTGGGTTTTCGTATTCACCCCCACTTCCAAAATTTTCCCATATTTTCCTGGAAATCGATGATGAATTGTGTCTGTGTGTTTTTTCCCTCCCGACATCATGAGGGGACGGATGTGCTTTCTTGGAGCCATCGTGACCATCACGAGGGGACGGGTGTAGGGTGGCCAGGGGGGGGGGGCGGGGAGCGAACGAACGAATGGACGGCGGAAATGAAGGGCTCCGAGCTCGAGAACGCGGCTGTGCAAGATGGCAGAGCAATCCCAAGCTCTCTGGGGGTGGGGGGCAGGGCCAGGGGGAGGCCAGGGAGGTCAGAGGCCAGGGCTGCCACTCAGGACGTCAGGGACAACACGACGACGACGACGACGACGACGACGTCGACGACGAGAGTAAATCAATCCGAGGCCCCGGCGGGGGTGGGGCAGGGCCAGGGGAGGAGGCCAGAGGCCAGGGCTACCACCCAGGACGTCAGGGGGGGGGCGCGGGGAGGGCAGAGAGGCCAGGAGACCCAGGGTGGCTGGAGGCTGGGGCTGCCATGGAGGCCAGGGAGGCCAGGGCAGGGAGGACAGGAAGGGCACGACGACACGAAGAAACGAAACGACACAACACGACACGACACGACACGACGAAAGTGAAGAGGTCCGAGCTCAAGGATCGCGTTCCTCCTTCCCCTCGTCCCCCCCTTTCCTCCTCATCCTCGCCCCTATTTACCTCCTCCACCCCCTCTTCCTCGTACCCCCTCCCCCCCAAAAAAAACCGTAAACCATCTAGCCCTAGAACCATCTACGCAAAACCTAGTTCCCAATTCACACCCCTCCCCCATCCGTTGCTTCCTATCCCGCGTCATCCCACCTCTGCCCTCCCCGTTTATCCCCTGCTCCCCCGCTCCGCTGCCACCTCGCTCCCCCTCCTGTCCCTCCGCTTCCCCTCCCTCCCCCTCTCCCCGTCTCTCGCCCTCCCCCCTCCCACTTCTCTCTCTCGCTCTCCCTCCCTCTCTCTCTCTCTCTCTCTCTCTCACACGCACACACACACACACCCTGACTCACCCCTTGCCCACCTCCAAGCGGAGCCCACCAGGGGCGAACGCCAGACAGACATGGCCCAGTGACCCCCCTGACCCCCCCCCCCCTCGCACTCCTGCGGGCTGCACTTGAGCCTGGTGCCACCCCATAGCGCGCTCACCTGGCCCGGCGCGACTCCACCTCCTCCTCCTCCTCCTCCTCCTCCTCCTCCTCCTCCTCATCTTCATCCTCCTCCTCCTCATCATCATCCTCTTCCCCCTCCTCCTCCACCTCCACCTCCTCCTCCTCCTCCTCCTCCTCCTCCTCCTCATCATCATCATCATCATCATCATCATCATCATCATCATCATCATCATCATCATCATCATCATCATCATCATCATCATCATCATCATCATCATCATCATCATCATCATCATCATCATCATCATCATCATCATCATCATCATCCTCAATCATCATCATCCTCCTCCTCCTCCTCATCACATCATCATCATCGCATCATCATAAGCATCATCACCACCATTCATCATCATCATCACAGCAGCAGCATCATCATCACCAATCATCATCGAGCATCATCTCATCATCATCAACATCATCATCATAATCATCCTCATTCCTCGCCCTCATCCTCATACCTCAATCATGCAGCATCATCATCATCAGCACCATCACCATCACCATCAACATCACGCATCACCATCATCACCATCATCATCATCATCATCGACATCATCACCATCATCATCATTATCATCAAGCATCACAGCAGCAGCAGCTAACCTCATCACATCATCATCATCAAGCATCATCATACATCAATCAATCCTCATCACATAAGCATAATCATCAGCATCAGACAAAAAAATAAAAAATAAATCATCATAATCAGCATCATCATCATCATCATCATGATCATCATCAGCAGCATCATCAGCAGCATCATCATCATCATCATCAGCAGCAGCGTCATATTACCCATCCTCCTCGTGCTCCTCGTCCTATCCATCCTCCTCCTCCACCTTCTCAGCTTCTTATCCTTATTATTATCATTATTAGAACTGTTAGTTGTCCTCCTCCTCAGTTCCTGTTCCTTATAGATAACTCCTCCCTGTCACAGCCCGAGACTGGTCGAAAGGGTGGGCCTGGCATTTCGCCTGAGACTTCCTCACGACTTCTGATCCTGAAGCTTGAAATTCGCAACAGCTTGACGGATGGAGGGCGGTCCTTTTTCAGAATGTGGCTCTCGCGTTAGCGCCGCACCCATTTGCTTCGAAGTTTGCAAGAGCTTCACATTTGCCTCAAAAGTTCGCAAGAATGTGACGGATGGAGGGCGGCTCCTTTTCAAAATGGGGCTCTCGCATTAGCGCCGCGCACACTCGTCGTTAAAGCTTGCACGAGTTTCACGGATCGGGATCGGTTTATTTTCAAAATGTTGCTCTCGCCGTAGCGCCGCGCACATACGTCTTCAGAGTTGCAGCTGCGTTTAAAATTCTTATGGTTGACGTCCCAGCAATAATGTTCTGGCACTATGTCGGAATGTCAGGGCACGACAGTCACGTTGATTCGCGGCTTTCCCTCAGTGGAGAAAGATCCGTGCAGGAGCCTATGAAGAGGGAACTTGGGGTGGGAAGGTGCGTCGCAGGACAGGTTTCGAAGCTCAGAATCGGCCAGCCCATGTTCAGGAAGGCCCCGCTTGCTGAACAGGACGTGGGAGGAGGAGGAGGAGGAAGAAGAGGAGGAGGAGAAGCAGCAGCAGAAGGAGGAGGGAGGACGGAGCAGGAAAATAAGGAGCAGAAAAAAGGAAGATGAGGAGGCTGAGGAAGAGAAGGTGGACGGACAGGGGGAGGAAAAAGAAGGGTGGGAGGAGGGCGAGGAGGAGGAGGGGGGGAGGAGGAGAAAAAGGAGGACAGGGAAGACGAGGCGGAGGAGGATAAGGAAGCGGAGGAGTGGGAGGAGGAGGAAAAAGAGGAAGAGAAGGAGGAACAGGAGGAGGAAAAGAATGAGACAGAGCAAGCGGGGAATGATTACGAGGAGGAGGAGGAGGGGGAGGAAGAGGAGGAGCAGAAGGAAGAGCAGGATAACGAGGACGAGGAACAGGAGAGACCCTGACGACACTCCGAAACTGCTCATCGTCTTGCCCCAGCTGCAACTTCACCGCAGTGCTGCGCTCCGCCAGCGAGGGAATGGAGCGCTGAGGGGGGGCGGAAGCGGAAAAAGGGCGAGGAAGAGGGCGGCGAAAGGCCAAACTGGCCACCGAAGTGGAAGGGGCTGACGGGGGAGGAATCAGGAAGGGGGAAAGGGTGAGGAGTGAGGAACAAGAGAAATAAGGAGGGATAAGATGACGATGACGGCGAACGATGCATCCATTTCGACATGCGCATCGCAGCCTCGAGGCTCGAGGCGACGCAGCGCGCCCCCGCGCTGCTAACTAGACGGCTGACGCCGCGCCGTGACCCCGTCGGGAACCCGTCCGTCTCTGCCATTTCGTGCGTTAACCTTTCCTCCTCCTCCTCCTCCTCCTCCTCGTCCTCATTTCCTGGTCATGCTTCGCTCTCGCTCCTAAGTGGTCGGGGGAGTGAACTGTGCGATGCTGATGCATAGCTGCATAGCTGTCGGGGAAGTGCCTAATCGATAGTATCGTCATTCCTCTCCCTCTCTCCTCCTCCCCTCCTTCTCCTCATCCTCTTCCTCCCCCCGTCGCTGTCCTCGCCGTCGACCTCGTACCATGACCCTCACCCGCCCTGTCCATTCGCTCCTCTGAGACGCCCGGGGGCCCCGAGGAGGCTCGGCGCAGTCGCCGCGACCGCCGGCCAAGCCCCAGCTCGGCGATCGCAATGGGCGCCAGGCGCCCTGCCCTGCCCAGCAGGGGCCCAGCAGCCAGCAGAGGGAAAGAGGGAAGCGGGGAGGGGAAGTAGGGAAGTGAAGGGAAGGGGGAGGGGTGATGAGGGAGGGAAGGAGGAGGTGGGAGAGAGGTGGAGGGGGGAGAGGAATAAGGCGAGAGATGGCGCCAACTGCACCAACTACACCAACTACACAGCACCCCATACCTACTTGAACATGTGCGCACAGTCCTTCCACTTAGCATCCACCGAACACGCGTCGCCCAAACGACTCGCCTTCCTCGCAGCACGCTTCGGCACGGCTTTGACCTGGTCATCTTTGGTGAACGGCGAGCGTTTCAGGATGATGTTTTTCTGCCCGAGTGCATCTTTTAGCGGGATCAACGTGTATATTGAAACCTGCGTGCTGATTACAGTATCCTCACCATTCGCCTCGGGATAAGCGAACTTCCAATTCACTGATGTTTTCTTAATTTGAACGTTGATCTCGGATGCTTTCTTCGCTTCGGCCACCATCCACGCAGGAACGAACTGTGCAGTTTGCTTCGGGTTGCCGAGGTCACCCATCTCCATGTAAAACGGCATACCAAATTGCACGCACACCTCGACTGCACCGTTGCTAGGGAGCCCACGAAGGACGTGCGCGCCCAGCTGTGCACATGAACGCGGCCCCTCGATCCACGAGACCACCGCGTTGTACGAACACGAACATCTGCGCAGTGCGCACTCTCGAAACCAGCGTGGGTCCATGTACACGCACGTCCTTCTCTCACTCCCGAGTTGCAGGGATCACGACGACGACAACGGTAGCCGACGACGCGACGGCGATGATGACGAGACGAGTCGTCATCATCGCCGCATTGTCGTCGGCCACGACGACAAGACGGCGACAACTGCGACGGCGGTGACGCGACTGCCGATGACGACGAGCGGCGATGATGACTAACGACGTCCAAGACGATACCGACGGTGGCAACGAACGAAGACGACGACGACGACGTCGACGGCGACGACCGCGACGGCGGCCGACGCCGACGAATCCCGCAGCGGGCCCCCGCGACCCCCCTCGTCTCCGCACTTCCAATATAGCACAAAACCAAAGGGACCTGGGAACCTTGGCGGATGCAGCGTTTCTGGCCTGGGTTGAAATCTGTCTCCAGGGAACCAATCTCCACGGGGCCCCCTGGGGCCCCGGGGCCGCTGGGCCCCAAGGGGGCCACGGCCACGCATCGGCAGCGACGAGCGGGGGGCCGAAGGGGACTGCGCTGGAGGCCTGCACGGAGCCCTTCCTCGGCACGGCCGAGATCTTCCCGCTGAAGTTCAGCGCGATGGCGCTGGTCAGCTCCTTGGCCATGAGCGGGGCGTTCTCCTGGGGCGCCCGGGCGGGGGTGAGAGGCGCGCGGGGGAAGCGGCGGGAGGGGGGGGGAAGGCGACGGGGGGGGGAGGGGGAGGGGGGGGGGGGGAAGGGGAGGGGAAGGAGGGAGGACTGAAAGGAGAGGGGGGGAGGAGGAGGGAGGAGGAACTAGGAGAGGAGGCAGAGGAGGAGGAGGAGAGGAGGATGGAGGAGGAGCTGGGAGGAGGAGGGGGAGACGGGAGGAGAGAGGAGAAGGGAGGGGTCGCGCGTGGGTGGGGGGGGGGGCGGAGGAGGAGGAGGAGGAGGGGGAGTCCGAGGAGGAGGGGAGGAGGAGAGGAGGACGGGGTGGGTCAGACCAAACAATAGAGACGCAGGCCCCTGGGCCATGGCATGTCCAGAAAGCCTCGAGGATATGACATTTTTCTCATATCCCTCGGGTTTTTGCATGTCCGCTGTCGCCAGCAATTGTTCGGGCGGAGGAGGAGGAGGAGGAGCAGGAGGAGAAGGAGGAACACGGCCCCCCATCGATCCTCCTTCCAGTTGCACTGCAGGATGTCTAGGCCGCCATCCGTCGGCACACCGAACCTGGACTGCACGTTGACGTGGGCCATATCGTGGATGAACGCCTCCAGCCGCAACTCAAAGGATCGCATGATCGGACCAGTAGCACCACCTTCGCCACAAATCCAACTCAACCGGATCTGGGGCACTGTCTGGAACTCCGCCACCGCAACGCTCTCCGCAGTCGTCTCCACGGTTGGCCCCTGTGACTGAGACTCGGTCGTCAGCTTCGCGTCCTGGGTATCCTCGTCCTCCTCGTTGCCCGACTTCGCCTCGGGCGGGGCGTCAGCGGCCGTCTCGGACGTCGGGGTCGGGGCGCCCTCTGTGGTCTCCGGCACGCCTGACGACTTGGCCTGCACTGGTGGGGTGACCAACTTGAAGCGGGTGGCAATTGGCCACAGCGCATCCTGGGACTGCAAGCCGTTGTCATCCCGAACTGCGGCGAGGAACTCCTTGACTTTACCATCCAAGCTCGCTTGGAGTAGACAATGCCAAGCGTCAACCCAGAACGCCTGGTCGCCACACGCACCAACGCGCAAGTCGAAGTCGGCCACCTGGTCTTTCAAATCAAGAGAACGCAAGGCTGGCATAGCAAGGGAGTAGTCCGTCTCGATGAAGCCGTGCTCGCCGCACGCGCAAGACTCGAGCAGAGCCACTACCAACTTGGACCTCATGGAAAAGAACTTGTCAACAGCATCAGCGTCCTGCAAAACTCCCGAACTGACGTCTTCGATGACCAATGGCGCCGTCGCTGTAGCTGCTGCACTGTCTGCGATGGCCGCGAGGATGGCGCGCCCCCAACAAGCGTACTCTTTATTGAACCCAACCCGGAACATGCTGAGGCAGATAACGGCCAGGACGTCGTGCAACGTAACAGCATCTCCCCTCGCACAGCGGGCAACGAGCACCTTGCCGACATTGGTGCTCTCAGCAACGTAGATGGGCTGAAACCTCGCGCGCGGCTGGTCGGTGATCTGCTTCTTCAACTCCCACATCTGCTGGATGAACTCGGGCTTCGCCTCGAACTCTGCGAGGGCGCCCGCGCCGCCGGCACGCCCCGTCTCACCATCATCTGCGTCGTCATCGGCAGCCAGCTGGGCGACAAGCCTGTTCGCGAGCTGCTCCGACCACGGAACATTATCCGCGCCGCCCTCGGCCCCCCCGGCACCCTTGCGCTCTGCCTCAGCATCGTCGCGGATTTTGCGAGCCTGCTCGTCGGAATCGCACAGCTGGGCGACGTGGCCCTTGATCATCTCGGCTCGGATGACTTTGCGAACCTTCGACCACGCACCGAAGGTCTCGCCATTGATGGTAACGGTCTTGGCCCACAGGAACTGCAAAGAAAGGCGGAGCCCTCGGCGCACGGTGGGCACGTCAATCTTGTCCTCGGGAACCATCTTAAGCGGCCCAAACACGCTGGCCGCTATGAAGTCGAGCGCCGTTGCCATACGACCGTCGACCTCGGCCTTGACTTCCTCGAGCGGGATGGTGCCGTCCTCAGGGTTGGACGTCCTGGCTTTCTTCTTTGACGGTTGCTTTCCAGCGGCAATCGCCGCTTCGACTTTCTTCTGATACGCCTGCTCTTCCTTTGCTTTCTTCTTTGCAGCGGCCTCTGCCTTCTTGGCAGCCTCGTTCTTGGCCTTCTTGAACGTCACAGACGTGCCCATGGGGCAATCCATCCACGAGACTCGCCTGTGCGACTGGTCATCTGACAGCAGCCACGGATAGTTGGCGGCCTCGGCAGACGACTTCTCGTGCGGCATCGTGAATTTCAGCCCCTCCATGACCACGAGCTTCTGCATAAACATGGTGAGGTAGTCCTTCTTCTTCATCACGGTGTTCACCATGTGGTTGCTCGTGCAAACAGTCCTGTAGGCATTCAGCTCCCGACGCAGGAAATCAACCTTCTGTTCGACCCACGAAACATAGTCACCCCAAACGTCCAAGCTGTTCTTGTCTTTCTTTTGCATCTTATTCTTGAAAGATTTGTGGGCGTCGTAATCCTCCCATCCGTCAAATACGTTGCGAAACTTATCATTCAAGTACTGCTCGTAGCGCTTGCTGTAACTGGCGGGCCCAGACTTTGCGCAGCCGTCCACTGTAATGCCGTTCGCCTTTTTGTAAGCATCCCACCCGTCCTCAACCTCCGACGAGTGGCCGCACTTCTGCACCCAGCTGGCGCCCGCGCCTGCCAAGAGAAAGGGCTGAGCACCAAGACCAAAACAGAGGGGGCGGGCCCCTGCCCCTCCCTCCCCGGGTGGGGGGGGGGGAGGCGGGACTTGGAGGATGGAGGAGGTGGAGGGGGCGTTTGTTGAAGAGGGGGGCCATGCATTCAAACAGTCCGGCGCTGGGACAGACGGAACCAAAGCCCCGGGCGAAAACGTTGCCCCAGAGGTTCAGCGCCCAGGAGGGCGCCGCGTGTTTTGGGGCCGATGGTCCGATGGTAACCGATGGTAACTGCCGTTTTGTTTTGCAGGCTTGAACCGCGGGAATGCTGCCAGGAGGAGTGCTAGCTAGGTGCTCAAAGGGAACGGGCGGGGGTCACGTGCAATTTGTCACCCTGCCCAGCCCGCCTAAGTGGTACCCATTGTGATCGCAGG